TAGGAGCGATGCCAGGAGCCCCTAGTAGCGTCCTTGCTCCTAGTAGCGATGCTAGGAGCCACTAGTAGCGTCCTTGCTCCTAGTAGCGATGCCAGGGGCCCCTGGTCCTCGTTACGTCGGGCCTATGAGTTGGCGGTTTGTGGCGACTCTCGTGAGGTCGTGCCGCTGCCCTGACGGCGATCCTTCGTGGCACACGTCACGTCACCTGCGCCCGCAGCTGCGTCCGCCTCTTCAGGCAGACCACAGGATTTGGGGTCTCACCTCGCTCTTCGACTTGTTGTTAATGAGAGGATTGAGGAGAGGATTTTGTGGCGGATCCAAAGAGCGGGATCTTTGAGTGAGGAGGATCAACTTTATATGCAGCTACATGCCAATATAGACTATTCTATACTTGTGTTGGCTTCCTTGAATTATCATTCTTCAAGCTACGGATCATGCTCATCATTCTAACGGATTTTGCCCGCCAAGTACTCTCGCTCAGCCACTGGGCAGGTCATCAAGTACTCTCGCTCAAACGGATGCCGCAGATTTCTGCCGCCGAAATTGGGGTCGGACGAGTTGGAGGACACGGCAGGCACTGCTGGGCTTGGCTTGACAAGCTACTCGTATGACCAGAGGCTCGAGTCTCTTTGTTCGGTATGATCCCTGACACAGACACCCAGTGAAAGCTGTGTTTTCGCCACCTTCCGTGAAGTGAAACCGAGTCGTGACCGATGTTCAACTGTCCCCGGCCCCTCGGAGGCTGCGGATGCGCCGCGGACGCGCCGCGGACGCGCCGCGGACGCGCCGGTCCATGAGCCGGACGGCTCGTTGAAAAGCTGCGACCGGTCGGCGCTGGCTCGGAGCTGACTTGTTTGGGGTTTCGGACCTCCCCCCGGCGGGTGCCAGGTGCCTGAGCTCTTTTGCGAGTTTGGCTCGGCGCATCCGGCGATGGCCCCAAGGGCCGCGTGGTCGGCCTATAGCCTGGGAGACTCAGAGAGGGAAGGAAGGCTGAGAGTGGGGGCAACAAGAGGTTCAAAGGCCTTTCAAGATGTTCAAGCTTGGGGTGATTTTTGGTGTCACAGATTTCTTGGGCATAAGTTTGTTTTTCTTTTTCGACTTCGATGAGTCGTCTCTTCGACCACCATAAGGCCTGCTCCTTCTTGCCGGGTCTGTCACCCGAAGGCCTTCTGTTTCTTCCACTTCTCAAACGAACACGTGGCGGATCGGCTCCTTCCGGTTTCATCCGCCAACCGTTCTCCCTCCGTTCGGTTTCGGCCGAGCGGGCGTCTTTCGCCCTCTGCGAGGTGACCTGGTGACTTGCACCAGTCCTCCCTTGTCACGACGCTTGGTGTGGGTCTTGGAGTGGCGACGTCATGAGAACGAAGAGCGCAGAGATCCTTTCTTGGTCACGTGAAGATCCAAAGACTCAGTAAGGAGTCTCCACAGAAAATTCGGAAGCTGATTTCCTGGCTTTCCGAGGTCGGGGCACCGGAGAAGGGAAGCCAGGACTGGTTTCAAACACCGATCCGAAAACCGTGGCTTCGCTCGGTCGTCCCGAGGGCGTGACCTCCGTAGACGAGCGATGGCTTCCACCCAGGTAAGCCGATGGCAATGCGATGGTGTTCTGTCAACCAAAACAGAAGAGGAGAAAGAATGAGGAAGAGAATTTGGGACAAGAAGCTACTAGGAACAAGTGCATCGCTACTAGTAACAAGTGCCTTACTAGTAGTAACAATGTTTGCTATTAGAATTGAATGATATATCATTCGAAACAGCAGTTTTGCAGCGATAAAGAGCTGAAGGTTGACCGGGTGCAGAGTAGAGACGGCAACCGGGCGGTTCACCGGGCGGTTCACTCGGTCGGATCGGTGCTACAAGCCAGTGGGTTTTTGCGTGAGACTTCTGCCATTCAGATGTTCTCCATCTTTTTCAATCCCCCCGCCATGGGTTTTGGTTCTATCCGTGTTTGGTGAACCTTTCAAACAACCGCGCGAATCGGGTGGAACACCCCATGAGGATGCAGTGATTGTGCCTTTGCATGTCTACTACTATGCCCGGGAGCTCAACAGAACTAGCAGTGCTGTGAACCATGATGAACCTCCAACCTAATGAAGAGCTATGGCCTCGAACTTAATAGCGATGAGGAACCTCTTCAAGAGCTCCAAGACTTGGTATGACTTGGCAGTGTTCGTTGTTTCAGAGGTGTTGACAAAAGCCACATCTTTCGGCTGGCCGAACGCATTTTCGGACTACACGACGAGTGTTCCGGAGAGGAGTCTCCGTCTGTCAGGAGTTCACCGTCTCGGTGGTCGGAGCAAGAAATCGTTCGACGCCACCAATTCTCCGATTCACCACGGGTGTTCTGCTGGGAATCCGAAAGCCTCGATGTGAACATGCTCGAGCAGCAGTCCGTGGCTCGACGCCGGCCTGAGGTCTTCAATGACGGTTGGAAGCGCTCGGATGCCGTCGACTTTACCTATCAACTCGTCCGGAACCCCAAAACCACGGCGAAATGGACGGGAGGACGGAACGTTGGGGCGACCACACTACGAGCTGAAAAGACAAAGATGGATCGTTTGTGTAGGTTTCGCATGGTTTTGCAGATGTCCAAGGAAGCGTGGCTCGGCGTTTTGAGTGGGACAATGGATGACCACATTGTGGTACAGTAGAATTCTCATGATTTAGGTTGGACTCACGTTACTTCACCCCACAATCACTTGTGCACTTACCTGCTTCCAGCTAGAAAACCATTTGATGTGTGAGATGGTTGGACAACCAGGGTGCAGACTCAAGGCGGAAGGACACTGTGACCCTCACGTCTTGCCCGTTTGGTGCATCGTCCCGAGGATGTGACGTTGCCCGTGAATGAGTCGCAGCCTTCTCCTTGGCACAGGAGTTCCATGAAAAACGGTCGAGTTGCCCCGGTGATGTTTGTCATTTTCTTCAGATATTTGAGAGTTGGGACATTTTTGCAAAAGCCTCAAAGTGGGGTTCATATCAACCATTTTTGAAACTGCGGCACGTCCTTCTTTTGAAAAGAACTGTATATTGTGCTGAGGTGATCATTGCTTCTCCAACCCAACAAACTGAAGTGGAGAACCCAACTCTCATGGCTCTCACCTGAACCGAACCTGATCTAACCATATCCTTTTCAGACCAAGAACCAACCGTTTGGATTCCCCACGCTTGGTGACTTTGTGTCACTCGCCCAACAAGTGATCCTCTAGGAACTGAAGCTGTGCTGTTTCATCTCGTTTGCTTCTCATCTCGTCACCCTCTAACTGCCGCAGTGCTTCTCATCTGGTGCTTCCTGTTTTTCCGTGAAACCGATGTAGATGACTCGTGCCATTCACAAGCTTAGCTCCCACATGGGATTCGCGTCGAGGCCACAAGTGCGGCGCTTGCTGCCCGGGCTCTTGCGCTTCTCTGAGCTCCTCGGTCCTGACTGTTGTTGACGGGTGGAAGGGGGTCGCAGAATCTGGAAGCCCAGTCCCAAGCATTGGAAAATCCAGTCAGGAGATATTTGGACCTCTGGCTATCTCCTTTGAAACCTGCTTCTTCAGAAGGGCCTCCAGAAAAGCACTCAGCTTTCTTGGTGAATTCTCCCAGCATCAAGCTGGTCGTTTCTTTCTTCGTTGATAGTCTTGCTCTCTGCTTTTTCTGGAGGGAGCATGATGAAGCCGACTCTACCCCACCCCAACCTCACCATGGTTTTTCAGTCTGAAACAGCCGCTGTCGGGTGAATGTTCCACCGAGGATGGCGGTCGATGCGTTCGGGTCGCCCGGTTCCGCGGCGCGTCATTCGCCGCGCGGCGCGTTCCCCGCGGCGCGGTCCGCGCAGCCCGTCCGGCACGTCCACTGAAGTGGTGATGGAGTGGGTCCAGAAAGCTGTTGAGGAGAGGCAACTCGTTGAAAAGGTTCCGAACTTCCCAAATCTGAAATTGCTTTCTCAGAAGATCCCATGTCCTTTTCGTGGATCACTGGATCGACCGTGGAAAAAGGCTTCCGCTAGCTCTGGTGGAAGTGGAGTTAGTCGTCGCGCACTGAGTTGGAAACGCTTCAAACGAACGCTTCACACTGCGACTGCGACTGCGACCCATCCACCAGCAGTGCCATGGAGTTGGAACATCCACTGGATGGGACGAGGAAAACACCAGGCCGACATGTGACTCCCGGCCACCTTCTCAAGATACACATGATGGAACCCAAACGCGCCAATCCTCAGGTCATGGGACTGAAGGCTTTCGTTGCGCCAAGGATCCTCCTCCTGCCTCCTACTTGCAGAGCTCGCTGGAACGCTCCAGCGGAGCCAAGCTCTACAGTCGGGCGGCCATGAATTCGTGGGACGATCTGTGAATTAGATGGAGCATCCATGGTTTGGTGATAGGATTGGGGTGTGTGTTTGGCTTGGAGGGGTTGAACCAAAACCCCCGGTTGCGGGTCCATGTCGGGTCAAACGGGTCCATGTCCCGAAGCTTTCTGCGCTTCCAACGACGACGTCGGTCGCAGGTCGTCGTCTCTGGTGGGTGGTCTCCCGACGTCCAACGAAGTCACTGGTCACGTCCCAGGAGCTGTTCACGTGGTTGTCTTCGGAGCTCAACAGCTCAAATAAGAGAGAAGAAGTCAGGTCCTGTTAATCATACCTGGATGTTCCGACTGTGCAGAGGTTTTGGCCTTCTCATCTATAAAGCCGACCCATTTTCAGCAGACATTTTGCACCGTTGGAAGATCAAGGACTATGGATGTTGAGATCTGTGTAGAGTCCAGCTAAAAAATCATCCGTTCTCGGAGTTGTCTTTGTCGGATGCACTCATTCTGACCAACACACACACGCACACATGTCGCGAACAGCGGCTGCAGCGCGGTTTGCGCCAGGTGCTGCTCGCAATGGCACACTTCGATGCCGCTTCCAAGCGACCACGGGCCTTCAGGTCCTTTGCGTGGGACGGTCGGTGGGGGCTCGGCGGAGCGGGAAGGAAAGCGTTGGCGTGGGCATTTCGTTTGATCCTTAGCTGCCTTAGCCTTCAAGACTTTACAAAAAAGCGGGAGCGACCTGGTTTTGAAGTTTTGTAGTGTAAAATCCTTAGGAGCATCATGGTTGTTCAGTAAAGACCTAAGAACACCTCACGTGCTTCTCGCGCCATGACGGAGACGGTGGAAAGTATGCACACAAGAGGGAGACTCCCGGCTAG